GGGGGCTGTGGGAGAAACTCTGCAGGTCGTGATGCAAAAGGCAAAGAGGCGCTGCCCCCACCTCTGCTGCTCCACGTTTCTTCCAATGATTTACTCCTCCTGGTAAAATATTTATGCCTTATTTCCAGCGTGTCTGCCCTCAGCTGCCAGCTATTGATTCTTGCCATCTTTTCTCTGCTCAATCAACCAGCTTTTGGCTACCACGTATTTTCTCCTCTGCGAGAGTATTTAGGTGCTTTTGCCAAGCCCTCCCCTTTCCTCTTTGATTGATTTATGAGTGGACTCGCTGGATGGCCCCCTCCTCTCCACCTGTAAGAACCTTTCTGCAGCCCCTTAGTCCCTTCCCCTTGGACTCCACATCTCCTCTGCTGAGAAGGAAAGTTTAGATTTGGCTACCATAAGTCCAAATTTGGTTCTGACCAGAAATGCAAATAACTGCTATTTTCTTTTTTCCCCAGAGACAAAGTTCACATTATCCTGAAAATTTTCAATTCTCCAGTGCAGAAATGGGGACAGACTGCAGCCTGGTGAGCCCCTGTGCTGCCTCTCCCAGCATCTGCAGGCAGCTCCAGCTGAAAATTTACCATCCAGATTAGGGACAGGAAACCACGTAGAGCCACAGTTATTATTTTTGGGTGTAAAAGATTTCCATGTTCCATTCTGCTCCAGTTAGGATGCCTTTCTCTCACTCAGCTTACCACCCGGATTTGTACAAACCATTAACACTCAGCTGCTCTGGGTCAGATCCAGGTTTTTCCAGAAATCATTTCCATCTCCTTTCTTCCAGATTAGTGATAAAAACACCAAGTCCACGTTACCAGCGAGCAGTGCCCAGCAGTGATAATCTCCCTGATAACTGCCTTGGAAATGGATCACGTTTATTTAATACCAGCTTTCTTGACACTGTGCAATGTCAGCTCTAAATACTGGACTGGATTGACTTTTTTAATACTGGAAAGTGCAGATTTTTACAAGAATATCACCTCCCATAACTCAACTGCTTCTCAGAAGTGTATTACAGCCAGAGAGTCACCTCTCATGTTGGAGACTGAAATAATTTCTACTTGCCAGGAGTTATTTTCCATACAGCCACGTTGGATGGCAAGAATTTATTCCTCGTGTTGAAGTCTTTAATCAATTCAAGCCCGAGCCAGGTTTCTCCCTCTTTTCCCTGGGGGGATGCTATCAAGCCAATCAACCTGTAGCTACCAGGTCATCTTATTCCCTTGTGGGAAGAGCAACAACACTATTAAAGCACTTTTTAATCATCTGGAATTTTCCCGGGGCTCATCCCAGCACACGGATGGGTGGTGAGATTTCAGCTACAACCACCCCAGAACAGGAACCAGAACAGCTGTTTCCTCAGATCTTTGTTTGAAATTTTTTTCTTTTCTTTTCTTTTTCTTTTTTCCGCCTTTTTTTTTTTTTTTTAATGGAAACCACTGGAGTGGCAGCTCGGACTAACGGCAATGACCGCAGCCTGGATGCTGCAAGCGGAGGGAGAGGCCGCTCCGGCGCTGCAATGTGGAACAAATTAGAACTCGGAGAGCAAAGGAAATGAGAACGCCCCGGTGGCTCTGACGTGAGCTCCTCGGCTCCAAATCCTGCCCCTCTGCAGGTCCTGTCCCCACAGCCGAGGCTGCCAAACCCAAACCCCTCCGCTCCGACCGGAGCCCCCCATTCCCTTCCCTTCGGGATGGAGTCTCCAGAGCCCGGTCTTTCCTTGTGCGACTTTTATCCATCTAATCTAGGGGCAGACCGGAGGCTGATGATGTCCATGGCTCCCCCGGTGCCGTCTTTAGCCGGATCAGGGTGGGTAAACTCCTTATCATGTTATTATTAGCAGCGGGCACCCTGCAGGAGCCCGGACCCCGGCGCTGTTCACACAGGATGGAAAAAGCAGCCCCAGTCCCGCAAACGCCAACAGCTTGTCCCAAAGGCACCTATCGCTCCACAAACATTGTTACAGTCCTCATTCCACAAGGACAGCAGGAATCCTTTTAGCAGGTTTTCTTTCCTTGGTGGTTTTTTCCCCCTGTAATTATTTTGCAGGGTCTTTTGAGCCGCCAACGTGCACCAGCTCTCCTGTAACGCACCAGTGCAAATGCCAGCCCTCTGCCCAGGCAGTCTATTCACACACCCCAGAATCCCTGCACAAAAAGCATTTGCTTTCTGCTGCCTCCCGAGCTCCACAGTCTCCGTAGGCTGCCTAATTATAAGATCTTAGCAATAATTTTTTTTTTTTCCAGCGATAATTAACTGGTCCTGGAGAGAGCTGAAAATAAGCACTTCCCAAGCAAGTAGCGAACTCCCCTGAGTTTTCTCTGCTAAAGTTACAACTCAGCATGAAACTGCTCCAGCCTCACAGGGACACAGATCATCTCAGCACCTCCCTGCCAGCCTGGGAAGCCACCGCGGTCGCAGGTGAATACAGGTGAAACGGCGGGTGTGGGACAGCAGCGGGATCCCAAGGGCTGTGCAAACAGACGAGGATCCCGAGGGGCATGCAACGGGGACGAGAATCCCAAGGGGTATGGAATGGGGAGAGGGATCCCAGGGAGTGTGCAAGGGGCAGAGGATGCCCAAGGGGCGTGCGACCGGGAGAGGGATGCCAAGGAGCGTGCAGTGGGGAGACAGATCCTGCGGGACACGGAATGGGGACACGGACTCCAAGCAGAGTTCAGTGGGGAGAAGAAGCCCAAGGGGGATGGACCGGGGACGATCCCAAGGGACGTGCGATGGGACACGGACCCGCAGGGACAGGCAGCGTGGGGAAGGCTCCCCGGGTGCCCGGCCATGGGACAGGGACCCTCGGGCACTGCGGTTCCCGGCACAGCCCTCCCGCCGGCCGTGCCCGGTGCGGCTCCGCGGGTCTCCCACGGCAACCGGACAAGCCCCGAGCGCCGCGCTCCTCCCGCCTCCGCTTCCCAGGGGACGAGAAACAAACGCGCCCGCCCGGCGCAGCGAGGGTGCCCGGGGACGCAACAGCGGGGACGCGCCCCCCAAGAAACGGGGGTCCCTGGGGTAGGGTCCGCCTTCGCCCCCCGCGGCCCCGGTACTCACCGTCGGAGCGGGGCAGGCTCGGCGCGACCCCGGCGGCGGCAGCGCCCGGAGCCGCCGGGGCTGCGCGGGGAGCTCGGGCCGGGCCCGTCCCGCCGGGGCGGAGCGACCGCGGCTGCGGCGCCCCCGCGAGGCCGGCACCGGTAACTGCACCGCCCGCGGCACCGCGCCGGGATCGGGAGCGGGTCGGGGCTTGGGAAAAGTCGGGATTGGGAAAGGGTCGGGATTTGGGAAGGGTCTGTACTGGGAGAGGGTCGGGATTTGGGAAGGGTCTGTACTGGGAAAGGGTCGAGATGAGGGAAGGGTTGGGATTTGGGAAAGGGTCAGGTTGTGGGAAGGGCCGGGATGTGGGAAGGGGATTCTGCCCCCCTCTGCCCCTCTCTGAGACCCCACCTGGGGTGCTGCATGCAGCGCTGGGGTCTTCAGCACAGAAAGACGTGGAGCTGTTGGAGTGAGGCTGCAAAGGTGCTCCAAGGGCTGGAGCACCTCTCCTATGGAGCCAGGCTGGGAGAGCTGGGGATGATCAGGATGGAGAAGAGAAGGCTCCAGGGAGACCTTAGAGCCCCTTCCAGTGCCTAAAGGGGTTCCAAAAAAGAGGGAGAGGGACTTTGGGCATGGAGTGACAGGACAAGGGGGAATGGATTCCCACTGACAGAGGGCGGGGTTAGATGGAATATTGGGAATAAATCCTTGCCTGTGGGGGTGCTGAGGCCCTGGCACAGGTTGCCCAGAGAAGCTGTGGTTGCCCCATCCCTGGAAGTGTTCCAGGCCGGGTTGGAAGAGGCTTTGATCATCTTGGTCTAGAGGAAGGTGTCCTTGCCCATGGCAGGGGTTGGAACAAGATGAGCTTTAAGGTTCCTTCCAACCCAAGCCTTTCTAGGATTCTATGAAAATGCCAGGAGCGAGCCAGGCAGGGCTCTGCAGGCAGCAGCACCTCAGATGCACAGGCTGGCCTTGGCCAAACAGGTTTTATCAAACCAGCTCCAGAGCTGACCTGGAGAGTGCTGAGGGTGCACACAGGCTGGTGCCTGAAAGGAGGAAAGGATGGATCCTTACTGCACTGGCAGCTGTTCAGGTTGAGAGGGTCACTGATGCTCTGCTCCCCTCGGTGAAAATGTCTCTTTTTGGTAAAGGGTGTTTCCCTGTCCAGGGGTGCTCTGGGTGGGAAAGCAATTCTGCCACCCAGACACCCTCTGGGAATGACAGCACCAAAGCAAAGCAAAGTCAGGAGACCTCCCAGTCCAGCCCAGTTGCCAGCAGCAAAGGAATGATGGGCGAGGTGGAAGTTGTGGGTCAGGTTTCGGGGTGAGTTCAGCTGCCCTTGGAAGCAGGGAACCCTCCCTGGCTTTCTGGGAAAGCCTCTGAGCCTGGCAGCCTGGGGGGAATGCAGCCTGTGTAATTATGGCAGAGAGGGCAGACAGTGGATGTGCAGGGCCCAGGCCAGGCAGCTCCAGCACGGGGGCAAATTCTCCTCCTGCATGAGGAGCCAGTGCCCACAGGAGAGGCTGGTGGGGTCAGCAGGGAGCTGTGCTTACCCCCTGCCCAGTCTGCCACAGGTTTTCTCCTCCCCGTGGCTCTGGCATCCTCCATCCCTGCAGTGCCAGCCCTGCACACCTCAGCCTCTGACTCAGCCATGGAGGGCTCTGTGCTGAGGCTGCCGTGGTGAGATGCTGATGAGTCTTCAGCCAGCACCTCTGGGCACAGGGGCACTGTCAGCAAACTCAGTGATTTATTTGTTTGTTTGTTTGTTTGCTCAGCAGCTGGCAGTGCCATCCCTGCACCAAGGTGAGTCAGTGCTCAGCATCCCAGCGCCCTGCAGTTGGTTGAGTGGCTCCTCTCCTCACCAGGGAGCAAAGCCACATGGGATGAGTCAGATAGAAAATGAGTTTATTTCCAGATGCTGCAGGGGAACTAATTTTGATTTAACAAGCAGGCAAGAGTGAGGTATCTTGAGTTTTTATTTCGATCCTACTCCACAGGAAACAACATCCACTAGCGTTATCTTCCTTACATTTGTTTGTATTTGACCCAATACTGTGTTAAATATAAAATACTGATTGAACAAAGATGGATGGTGAAAAACATGAGATGCTAAAAAGATCCCTCGAGCCCTCCTCCACAAACATCCTGAATGTTGTGAGTCATTTAAAATTAGTATAAAATAGGAGGACGATCCAATAACTTGCTCTGTGCCCCCCATGCTTTGCAAGGGGAGGATTTAGGAGGAAGAGGAGAGGGGGAGCCTCTCAGTTGCAGAGAAGCCTACTCTGCAAATCCAGGCTGAAGGCAGGGTGTGATGCTCCCATCAGAGCCCAGCCATCCACTCCTGCCCGGGTGCCCTGCCCTGGATTTTCAGCAGGAGACTGAGATGAAGCAGCCTCAGAAAGGTCCTTCTGGCACCTCCCTGTGCCTCGGGAGCCCTTGGGACAGATTTAGGGCCAAGAGACCACAAATGGCAAAACAGTTTGTGAGATAAATCCCTTGGGATGAAGCCTATGGGTGAAACAGGGTGGTGGTCCCTGGGCACCCTCAGCCCTGCCAGGGGACATCTGCCTGTGCCTGGGAGTGCTGCTTGCCTGGCCTGACCCCAGGGTGGCTCCCTGTGGTGTCTGGGGACAGAGGGGGAGGAGAGCTGAAGTTGTCACCGTGCCCCAGGGTGGCTCTGGGCTCCCCCAGACCCAGTGAAAACTGAAGCAGGTGTTTGTGAAGCTCTGGCTGCCCTCCAGGTGCTTCACGGGGTCCTCACACGAGCCCTGTGAGGTAGGTCAGGGTCTCCACCCCTGTTTTACAGATGGGGAAACTGAGGCACGGAGAAGGGTAATGACTTGCCAGACAGAAAATATGGCATCTCCCATTCTGGGATCTCTGTATCCTGCTATTCCAACCCTGGACATGCTCCATTGCTCACAGCAGGTGACAGGGCCAGGGCTGGGCTCACAGCAGCTCGTTCACCCCCGTCCCTAAGACCACCCTCCACCCCAAGGGCTGCTTTGGGGTGCCCTGGGCACAGACCCCCAGCAGCCCCACGCCAGGCTGGGGTGCTGGGTACAGCTCCCAGAGCCTTTTACAGGAACCTTCTGCTTGTGGAAGTGAAAACCCAGCAGATATTTTTGCCAGCCTGGCAACCACGACCACAGGAGGGGGTGAGTATCCGGATGCTTCCTCTTTGGTAATTTGCTGCACAGTGGCACAGCCCTGGCGAGCCAGTCCTGGGCTGCCACAGGCTGGGGGACCCTAAGCTCTGCTCAGCTCCTGGAATGCTGCTGGAGAAACAGGAGATGTGGGATGGTGGCCAAAAATCTCCTTCTCTTGCCACATCGTGCCAGAGGATGCAGCTGTGATTTATCAAAAGCCAGAAAGAGGTGATGGGCTATTGGTTCCTTTGGGGCTGGTGGGGAAGGTGCAGGCTCAGCCCAGCACACACCACACCCTCCTGGCTCCAGCAGCTCTGCCAGGGTGTTTGGGGAGCAGGATCAAGTGTGGTTTTGCCCTTCTGCTGCTCCCAGCAGCTGGATGGGTGTTCCATGTGTCACTGGCCTGTGGTAGCACTGTGTGGCCGTGGTTAGGCATCCAAAAACTGAGCATCACTGGGATCTCTCCATCACAGCTCACACCCAGGCTTCGTGTGGATGCATTCCTGCCCTGCAGCAATCCTGGGAATGCCAGAAATCTTTCCAAAAGTGGAATTAAATCTGATGAGCAATAGGTTCATCAGCAAAATGGGAGCAGAGAGGGCAGGTGATGCCTTCACCAGCCCCGTGACCCCAGTCCAAGGAGGTTCTCTTCCCTCCCTCGAGGAGAAAGGGAATCCCCTCAAGTGGATGGAGGGAATCTCCAGTCAGGGAGATGCCAGGAGCTGTATCCCACTCTGCTCCCTGCTGAAGGCACACGTGCAGCAGGGCCTGGGAGCAGGACTGTGCTTCAGGCTGCCACTGGCACCAGGCTGGAGAGGAAAACCAAGAGCTCCAGGGAGAAAATGTCCACAGGGGATCCCAGGGATGTATGATGAGTTGTGCACTTCATATTGGCTTAGAGAAAGGGTTTCCCAGTGCTCAGGGACTGGGATGCCCTGGAAGAGATTCAAGTTTCAATCTCTTGTAAGGCTTGTTGAGTATGGACCATCCCCTCAAGGTCTGGGATGGAGCTGTTAATGCTGACAGGACTCAGGACGATTTGGGAGCCAGTCCAGGTGGTGCAGGGCTGTCACCACATCCCTCTCCACCACTGTGTCTCTGCCCTCGTCCTGACTCCTCCAGTGCCCTCAGTGGCACACTCTAAGCACTCCAGTAGCCAAACCCAGGGTGTCATAGCCAGGGGCATGTGGGGACAAGGTTCCCAGTCCCGTGGGATGCTCAAGACCAGGCGAGTGAGCGAAGCTCCCAGCGAGTGGTCACTCCTATCACCCACAGCCCAGCCAGTCACTGTGCTCTGAAACCTTTGCCTAAAAAAATAAACAGTTCCCGAGGTTTAAAAAAAAAAAAAAAAAAAGAAAGATATTTAAAATCAACCTCCAGGCTCTCCTGTCTGTGCGGGCAGGGCACCAACAGCTGCTGCCCACGGGGCGAGAGGGCGGACTGGGGCTGTGTCACCGCTGCCCTCCGTGTCCCCAGGTGGCACAAACAAAGTCTTTAAGGCTTTCTAGCGGGAGGTTTTGGTGTCCAGCGCCCCCGGGCGGTACAGGTACCTCCAGATGGCGTAGTAGTGGATGCCAGCTCCGATGGCCACGAAGAGGTGCCAGATGGCGTGGGCGAAGGGGATGCGCCCGTCGCTTTTGAAGAACACCATGCCCAGGCAGTAGAAGAAGCCACCGGCCACCAGTTCCAGGAGCCCGTCCCTGTTGGGCTGGGAGCAGGCAGTGCTCAGTGAGGCCGAGGGGTGTCTGCCCTCTCCCCACCACCCCACTGAGACCACAAGTGGGGTCCAGCTGCAGCTCTGGACTTCCCTGCCTTCTGCTGCACCCTCCTCTCCAGCAAGGCAGCAGGGACCCAGCAGCCCCAAGAGAAATGGAACCAGATGATTGTTAAGGTCCCTTCCAAACCAGACCGTTCTATGATTCTGTGATCCTACAATTTCCAAACTACAGAGCCCAGGAAGGAATCTAGGAGAGATGCACGTGGTGCCTGCCGGGCACCCAAAGCACCTGCAAAACCAAGGTGAGCCACATCGTATCAGGGATGGCTTTATCCCTCACACAGCCTGGAGACTGCACCAACCCGCAGGAGACAAACTGTTCTGAGTTTTCAAATCCCTCCTGGGATTTGTCCCAGCGGGGGCTTACCATGGAGAGGATGACCAAGGCGGGGAAGAAGCCCATGATAACGTAGCACACCAGCTCCACCAGCTTGTACCTGCGACAGACAGAGAGGCAGCTTGGAGCAGGGACGCAGGGAGGTTGAGTTTTACGCTTGAAATTCCCACAGTGGTGCTACAGGGAAGGGGGTGGCCGGCCATCACAGCAGGTCCCATTTCCTCATGTGTGGACTGGCTTGGCAGCTGGCACTTGGCCCTCCGGGGTGACGCCTGGGGCTTTTGGCTTTTTATTTGGTGCCACCACGTGGAGGAAGCAAATCACAGCAGCAGTCCCTGCTCCGTGTGCCGGGTCCCACACCCTCCAGTTCGGGGCACTCACCGCTCGTGGAAGAAGAAGACGTAGACGGTCCCAATGGATGCCATGATCCAGATGATCCAGCGCATGTGGGAGGCCCAGGGACCCAGCTCCCTCAGGTTCAACCTGCAAGAGCCAGGGCTGTGCTGAGGTGGGTCTAGGGCAGCAGCCTGGACTGGGCTCAGCCCCTCTCCCCCATGGCTGCCCCACCACGGGGTAACCCAGCTTGTAACTTCAAGAGGCTGAAAGCCATAGGATGTGAAGGTTTTGGGGAAAGGGGTGAGGTACAACCTCGAGAAGAAGCAAAGCCAGAGAGGGAAACTCTATTTGTTAGAACCAGGATGATTTTTTTTTTCCCCTTCAGTGGGGCCAGGTGAAGGCCCCCAGCCACCAGCAACTCACCAGGGAGCGTAGGATGCGGCGATGAAGAAGTAGATCACCATCCTGTCAAACATGTGCAGGCAGTGCTCCACAGTCCTGCAGGACAGACAGATGGGTCACAGCACTGGGGGCGTCTGGACCCTCTCCCCCTTCCCAAGCAGTCAGGGATGGTACCTGAGATGCCTCTTCTTCCAGGAGATGGTGTGGAATATGGTGGAGACAATGAAGAGGCTGGACAAGCCAAAGCCATAGATCCAGGCTGAGATGGTTTCCCACTGGTCATCAGAGAGGATGTAGAGGATGGAGCTGCCGAGGATGCTGGGCAGGATCCAGAACTGGAAGGGGAAGCAAACCCGCTGTTGACTCTCTGCATTTCCATTGAGCAGCTACAATAGAGCCTCCACTTCTCCTTTCAGGTGTTTCTTTAGCTTCTGGTCAAAGCTGCCACCCCTAAGGGGCAGGCTGGGTCCCTCCCTGCGTGGTGCAGCTCCAAAATAGTTTGTCCAGAAGGTAGGGAGGAGGAGGAGGAGGAAGGCACAAGGAGGATGACTGTCTCTGAGTCATCTCCCAGGACTCAGGCTGGGAACTGTCAACTCCCAAAAGAAACCCTGATGGGGGGAGAGGTCCCCATCAGGCAGCCCCATGGGCACCTGGCACAGCTCTGGCTGTGAAACAATCCATTTTCAGGGAGCTTTGGAAATATTCCTGCCCCACCAAGCCCACAGCCAGCTTCCCCAGGGACATGGGGCCACAGTGGGGGAGAGCAAGGGAGATGCAAATCAACTTCCCAGGGCAGGAGGAGGGAGAACATCCAATCCCCAGGAGCACACATCTGCCTCAGCACAGCCCTCAGATCTCAGTGGCTGCCCCAGGGCTGAACAAAGATGTTTCTGGGTGTCCCTTGAGGTTCCTCAGTGGATCCCCAGAGAGATGAGCACCGTCCTCCCTCACCCAGGGGCAGGGACAGGGACTCACAGCGTGGGTGGCACAGTTGGCTGCATGCTCATATTCCGTGGGCTGGTACCTGCAGTTGGATGGGACACGGTGATTCATGAACCTGCAGAGAGAAGCAGGGAGAGAAACACGCTCAGGGGACAGGGATGGAGCAAAACCCTTCTGGAGGGGACTGCACAGGGCCTGCAGCCCTGCCATGGCTCAGCTTTGCTCCAGCTGCCCTGCAGAAGGGACACCAGCGTGTCCATCTGGCTGTCCCCAGATGCCAGGTCCCCAGGTCTTGCTCAGCCATGGCTGAGGCTGAAGCAGCTCCTGGGAGCTGCTGTTGCTTGGAGAGCAGAAGGCAGGAGCCAGCTCTGCCAGCTGCTGTGGGCAGAGGTGGGAAGAGCTCCAGCAACAAAGAGGGAATATAGGGTAGTGGGCTGTGGGACTCCAACCCATCCAGGAATGACACCTTTGTGTCACAGCAGCATGGCCAGCTCCAAAAATGGAATCCCTGCAGTGCTTTTGGTTTCTGGGTACCACCTGCATCTTCCCCCTACCCCCAGGGCTGCACATCCCGGTATAGATTGCTGTGGGGGAAAGCCTACTGCCCTTCCTTGGAAACCTGCATATTTATTTCTGTTTCTCTTAGTCCTAGGAGGCACCAGTGTGCTCTTGGTGTTCACAGGAATGTATTGATTTCACCTGCTGGACCAACAGACAGCGATAAAAAACAGTGTCACTGCATTTCTGGGTGTGTAACAACAAATTAATGTGCATCTGGGATAACAGCTCTGAGCTAAGCCTCATCCACCACCCTTTTCTGGCAGGAGACAGCAGTGGAGGCTTAGCAAAGGGAATGAGAAACAGGGAGATGGAGAGGGTTCCTTCCCTGCTCCTGAGGATCAGGGATTTTAGGATTTTCCCTGCCGTGGCTCAGGTCAGGGCAGGCTGCTGGGCAGGACCTGGGCTAATTGCTTTGTGACCCTGTTTGCCCCAGCTCCAGCACCATCTGCAGCATTTCACAGCTGAGTTGTGCCCAGCAAAGGGGCTCAGGGGCTGGCAAGACCTTGCTGCTGGGCACAGGGGGATGCCTCAGGCCGGGATGCTTGGAAAGGCAGGAAATGTCCCCTCTCCCTGTCCCCAAGCCACCCACACCTGTGTGGACTCCTCTGCCATCTCCTGCCTGCCTGGCCCCACTGCCTGAACCACTGCCTGTTAGAGCTGAGCCAGGATGGATTAAATAGCTCAAATGACAAGGATTTGGTGTGGGGGAATTGTGCAACCACAGCGGGGTGAGGGGCACCCCAGCAGGTGACAGTGACAACCCACAGAGGGGCCCTGTCCCCAGCCCCTGCCCTGCCATGCCTCCTGCCAGACCCTGGCACTGTGGGAAGAGATTCATGGTCCTCATCGCCAAAAAATGTCTGGAATTAAGAGGGGGAATGGCCAAGCTGCCACTGCTCTGCTCCCCAAGGACTCACAGGGGTAAGTGGGGGCTCAGCAGGGCTGGGAAGAAGCTGGGCATCCCTGAGGACAGGGCTGTGCCCAAAGTGCTGTCACCTCCACCCCAGGGACACCAGGGATGCCCTCCCCATCCCACCACTCCACAAGGACTGGCAGGGCTGCCTGTGCTGGAGCCACGTCCCCCTGGCAGGAGGATGTCACTGTCCCCAGCGTTGCCAGGAGACTGTCCCCAGCTCCCCTTCACTGTCTGCTTCCCTTTATTTTCCCTTTTAATAATCAGAAGGAGGGGGGAAGAGGGGAGGCCAGACGTCCACATGACGTCACAGTTGCTGAGGAAACACGTTCAAGGCCTTTTCCTTGAATTTATTGATTTTAACAAAGCCTGCTCCATCTCCCTCTGCTCTGGCTGGTGCTGTTCAGAGCAGCAACACAGAACCAATTCCACAGCCCCCTCCCCAGGGCTGGGGGGCTCCCAGACCCTTTGGGAAGGTTTTCCTGGGGTGCAAATATCCTCCCTGGCTCTGGCACAGGGGTAGAGAAGCCAGGAAGGGCCACCCAAGCCATCTCCATGTGACAAGGTTGGAGAGCATTTATGTTCCTGCAGCCCAGAGCTGTGCTGGTGTGAGGAACCACAAACTCCTGCTTTTCCCACAGGGAAAATAGCCTTGAGGAGCAACCTTTTTTTTTTTTTTTTTTTCCCTGAGGATGGCAGACATACATATAATGTATAATAATTTCTATTTATTCTTCTCCTGTAGCAGAACAATTCCATCTCATTGGTATCGAACTGGGGAGAGATTGCTGCTATTTTCCTGCCCTCCGTTCCAGTAAGCATCATCCTGTGGATGGTGGGAAATGGAGCATCACGGATGTGGGACCTGGTGGGTCAGCCTGAGCCCCATTTTTGGGAGCTGCATTGTGTTTTGGGGCTAATTTGGCAAGTTTCTGTGGTCCTCTCTGCTCTTGCTTTGCCAGGGTGGGAAGAAGGGAAGAAAGGGATAGAGTTAAATTTTTCCTCAGGAGGGCTCATGTGGGACTCTGAGCTCTCCTGAGGGCACCAAGAGAACCTGAATCAGTCACTCCATGGCCACCTCCCTCTGTAAAAATGGGAGCAGCTGGTGTTGGCACATCTCCTGGCAAGGCAGGATAACTCCCTGGCTGCACCTTATTTCCCAGGGGTGCAGAGGTCACTTCCTCCCCTGCTCTCCTGGGATTTTATGGACCAGCTCGTGTCATCCCTGTGCACGCTGGCCTGGATGCAGGGCAGGGCAGGGGGAGCCCTGCAGCATTCCCAGCCATACCAGTGTGCAGAACCAGCCTCAAACCACAGCTCCAGCCTGGACAGACAGACAGACACCCCTGGAAACAGCACTTGTGATCCTCGGGTGCGGGAAGCCACGAGCAGCTGTTCACACACCCATGGGTGCTCCGGTGCAGCTCAGCAGCTGCTTCGGGATGGCAAAGTCCAAGAGACACAGAGAGGTTCAAAGAGTGCTGCAGAGCAGGAGCAGGAGGGTGTTCATTCCCAGGGATGGGGTGTGGGAAGCAGGGAGCTGCAGGGTTCCCGGGCACCTTCTCCTCCCGGTGCCGCTCCTGGCACACTCCCACAACGGGCTGTATGAAGAGAGGGGGCTGCTGAGGGTCTGACCAGGGGTTATTCTCAGCACTGCCAGGGTTTTTGCCTGCCCTGCTTGTGCCTGCTTTGCCCTGGCCCCTTTCCCAGGGAGGGAGCCTGAAAAGGGCCAGTACAGCAGGCTCTGGCCAGGGAAACAATGAGCCCCTTGTCCCTGGGCAAAGTGCAGAGCTGGCTTCCCAGGCCTGCTCCTTCTCCCACTCTGTTGGGTTGGGGTTTTTTTAATATGGCTTTAGTGGTTTTACTGAGTTTTTAAAAGACTTTTATCCAAGAACGAAATTCCAGCCTCCAAAAGGATCTTGCTCTGCCGGGGTGGGAAGAAGGGAAGAAGGTAAGAAAGGGATAGAGTTAAATTATTCCCCAGGAAGGCTCATGTGGGACTCTGAGCTCTCCTGAGGGCACCAAGAGAACCTGAATCAGTCACTCCATGGTCACCACACACTCACTCAAGCAGGAAAACTGTGCCCTGCACACATGAGGGGAATGGCCCCAAAAGAGACCCAAGCCAGGCTGCAATTGGGACAGATGAGATTTAGCCCTGCCTTTGACACAGCTCAACAGGTTGGCCTCTGCCACATCTCTTCATGCCCCTCTCACTCCCCTTTCCCCTCTCTCCAAGTGAGGATAATAATTTTGACATCCTTTAGGCAAGCAGTGGGTGGATATTGTGAAGAGGGTGTAAAATCACCACGAAGATGTGGATGGGGAGGTGTGAGCTGGGCTTCTGCCCTTGAAAGGAGTTGCTCCAACACCTGCCCTCCCCAGGCCTGCCATAAACCAGGCTGTGCATGTGTCTGTGTGTCTGTGCACTGTGGGCTGGGTGCCACGGGGACAAAGGAGCAGTCAGCAAGTCCAAGGTTATCCCAGGTGATACAAATTTCCCCAGAGCAGCTCACCTCTACAGGTTTCACCTGCAAATGGATTATAAAAGGGCTGGGCTTGCTCAGTTGGCCTAAAGCCTGTGGGGATGGATTTGCTGTGTGTTCACCCTCCTGCCCAAGGAGCTGGGGCTTTTCCAAGCTGAGCTCCCTGCTGGGCAGTTCTTGGGATCTGGCTGTGAAGGAAGATTTCTTCTTCCTCTTGTGACTGGGTGTCACAGCTGCTTTTGAAGTAGCAGAGGAAGATCCCGGAGGTGGTCAGAGAGGAAGGATTTGCTGGATGCTGATCAACAGTGGTGGTAAGTCCTGTTGGGGCTGCTCCTTGGTAGAACAAGTGGTGCGATGCCTGAGGTGTGAGTGATGGAGCAGAGGTGTCCCTGCAGGGCAGACTGGCCTCTCACTCTTCAGTGCATGGCCTGGCTTTGCTCTGGCAGCCCCGAGGCTGCTCACCCAGCACAGATGCCAGGGCTTGGTCCTGGGGCTCGTGCTCACGTGGGAGCTGCTGTGGTGGCATCCCCGTAAGCTGGGGCTTGGCACGTGCTCTGCCTCTGCTCTGGGCTCTGGTAAAGCTCCAGCTGCATCCCTGCTAAGAGGCTTCAATCCCTTGAGCTGCTCTGTGGTTGTAATTAGCCGAGTCCTGGGGAGCAGTGTGTGCTGGCCTGGCTGCTGTTTGTGCACAGTACACCACCACAGGGCTCACGGGGTGCAGGACCACCAGGAAATCCCCATGGCCCACCTTGAGCCCCGGAGATCCCCCAGACTTTACTGCTTCATTCAGCCCAGGAGCACTTGAAATCCTGCTTTTCCTTCCTACCCTTTGACATGGGAACGTTCCTCTGGGAAGCAGAAACACCAAGGCCAGCACTGGCCAGCCCTGCCATCTGCAGAGCCACCCACACCCCTGGGTGGCACCTGCTGGGAGCTGGAGCCTCCCTTGCATGCCCATTCCTCGGTGCCTGCGGGCTCCCACGCACACATATGGCTCTCTGCTTTGCAAAGCTGAGCTGTGCCTGCTGGAAGCAGCTCCTGGGCCAGGGGAGATGGGGCAGGCCTGGCCTTGGGCCCCTCCTGAGATCCAGCCCATCCCGTGGGAGAGGGGCAGCAGGGCTGATGGAGCAGGACAACCCAGCATTTGCTTTTGGT